GAGGACCGCCTTCCCGATGTAGAGGCCTCCTCTCCCGTGGTACAGCTTGAACTCCTGAGTTGTGCTGTCTGCTTCAAGATGAATACCCTTCGCCATCAACTGGCTGACGCTCAGTAAGTTGTAGCCGAGGCCTTCTGCGATTAAAACTTTGGACATTTGCAGAATGACGTTTGTTTCACGTGACTGAAGTTGGACGATTCCTTGTCGTCGTGTGCGCAGGTTTTGGTTGTTGGCGACGGTGATGACTACTTCTCGTTGAAGCTGATACTCTCGTTGCACGAAGCGTCCTGAAGAACACATGTGCTGGCCGCAGCAACTGTCCAAGAACCATGTGTCTTTCCCGGATGGCTCGCTTTGGGCGATGGCGGCGTACGTCGGGTTCGGTTGAAGTAGCTCGCGACGAGGTGTCGTTTCATCGAGCTGTTCTTCTGGTGAGTAGTACGGTGGTGATTCCGTGACGCAAGAGTCACTCAGTCTTGCCATACAACTAACGATGTTTCTTGCTCCTTGTGCAGGTTGTCCTGTTGAGGTCGTTGAAGTTTGAAGTTGAGTCGTTGGGTTCGCCTGTGTTGACGTGACTTGGTTGCTTGAAGGTCGTAGCTGCCGCTGCGGAGTCGTTGACTGTTGACGATTCGGGCAGTGCGTGCGTGGGTGCCCTGAAGTCTTGCAGATGTGGCAGAAAGGAGGTACTGGCTTCAGTTGTTGTTGCCGATGATTGTTGTTGTTGTAGCGTCGCTGGGTGTGGAATGCAAATTCTGATGCTGTTGTCCTTTTCTTGTGTCGTTCTTCTTGCAGGTCCATGTCCTGCTGCTCGGCGTGGATTTCGGCGCAGAGTGCTGCTTCAGAAATTCTTCCGTGGGCTCGAAGAATGGCCTTTGTTGCGCGCCATTGGGGACCGAGGCCGCCGATGATGACTGTCACGAAGGCGTCTTCAGATATTGTCCCTCCGCATCGAAGAAGCTTGTCGCGCAACTCGCGACAGCGACTGATATATGCCAGCCCCTTTTCTCCAGGTTTCATTTCGACTGTTGTCAACTGCGCCATTAACCTGCTTTGGTTTACGCTGTCTGTTGCTTGATACAGGTTCTTCAGGTGGCTGTATGCAAGCTCCGCCGAGTTGCCGAAGGCTCGGTAAGACCGTATGTTCTGCTGCTGAGTCGGTGTGACGTTTCTCAGTAGAATCGTGTACGCCATCATTGACTGATAGGTGTACTGTTGTTTCTCATACTGTGTGCCGTTTACTGGGTATTGCAGGGACCCGTCGAAGAAGCCGAGTATTTGCGCGCCTTCCATCATCAACTCGAACTCGAATGACCAGGTGAAGAAGTCATTTCCGTCGAAAGGTCTTGAGGTTTGCAGCTTCAGAACGTGTGCAAACTGTGATTGAACTTGTAATGCATCCAGTGGTTTGTCTTGTCCAGGTGAAGGCTGCGGCATGAAGCTGATCGACCCGCGCTCGTACGGGGCGAAGGTAGGTTGCTGCTGTTGGTTTCCGCGCGCATATGACGACCCGTCGAGGCTCATGGGCGTTGCTCCGTTGTTGTTGCTGTTGTGTGACTGTGCAGGTCCCGACTGCTGGTGCTGCTCGTAGAAGGACATGAAGGAGAAGAATTTCTCCATCATGCTCTGGTCGAAGTTTGCGGGGTGATTTGCGGGAGTCTCAGTAGACGTTGCCCTTGGTCTTGTTGCCGTGCCTTCCTCTGTCTGCAGGCCAGAGGCAGGAGGTGGAGTAGGGGTAGTGCCCGGGGAGCCGTTAAAGGAGCTCCTTTCCTTGTTTGTTGCCATGTCTTGTAATGACTTGATAGTAGTGGAGTTTCCCCTGTTTGCTCTCATACCATGTTGGGCTGAGATGAGCCCTTAGGATCTTTTCAGGGGTGAACTCTGGGTAGGAACCTTGTAATAGCGGAAGCGTTTAATGAAGAGTTTGTGAACCACCTTGCGCTAGTATGTGAGGGCAAAGTAGATTGATTATAGCAAAGAGATACAAGAATATTTATAATAGTACAAGGAATACGAAACGATACGGTTGTAACTAATTTACTGTTGCTGTTGCGGTTCGACACAGTGACGACTCGGGCAACTGCTCTGTAACGAGTCAGTTGTGTGTCCTTAACTGTCGCGCTGCACTTGTCAGGTCAAAGGTCGCTTGACCTTTGACTTTCGCGTAACCTCCAGCAACCTCTCAACCTCCGAGGGTTGACTCGCACTTGCTTCGGTATTGTTTTCTTCACTTCTGGTGCGATGTTTCGACACTACTGAAGCGCTTAAGTTTCACTGTTTCCAACACAATTAATGATGCACTGTCTGATATGTATATTTTTAAAAGCTGTAACGCTTTTCAAAATTATGTATTTTGAAAGCGAAGCTGCTTGTAATGTGGGAATGGGCAGCGTCGAACCGCGCTAATTGTCAAACAATATGTTTAATATATACCCTGCGTGCTGTAGGTACTGTAGTTATTATTATTAAGAGTTGGTGGTGCACCTTCTTTGTTGCTTTGCTATATGTACCTTGTGTGCTATAGTGAAACACCTCTTTCCTTGCCTAAACTCTCTCGACACTTTCTCCTCTTCACCCTAGCATGGCTCCTCACCTCTAGCTACTATCTTAACATGGTACAGAGCTGGTTCTTTCCCGGAACCTTCTCTTTTTTTTTAAGAATCATGGGCCCGCCCGTACTACAGCGCGAAATGCGCTATTTTCTTTTTTTTTTTTTCTCCCCGTTCGCCCGTCACGCGCGCCCTGCCCGTCCCCCCGAACGTGCCACGTCGGCTGCCTCGCGGACGCCCCGTCGGCTGCCCCGCGGACGCCCTGCCCGTCGCCCGCTGCCCCCCAGTTCCGTCGCCGCGGCGCCCTGCGTTCCGTCGTCGGGGCGCACCCCTTCCCGTCGTCCGCGAACCCCGTTTCGTCGCCTCGCGGCCCCCCGTTCCGTCGCCAGCGCCCGCGCCAGCCCGGACCGCAGGCGCCGCCGCCAGCGTGGCCCGTCAGCGCGGACGCCACCACCGCGGCCAGCCGCCACCGCCAGCGCCAGCAGCAGCTACCGCCAGCGCCAGCAGCAGCTACCGCCAGCGCCAGCAGCAGCTACCGCCAGCGCCAGCAGCAGCTACCGCCAGCGCCAGCAGCAGCTACCGCCAGCGCCAGCAGCAGCTACCGCCGCCCTGCCCCCTCCCGCCCGCCCTCCCTTCCACTGCTTCCGTCGCGGGGGGGGGGGGAGGAGGGGGGGATGTGGGGGTGGCGGGTGTGAGGTTGTGAGGAGCCAGCACCTCCTCCCTCCCTTCCCTCTTCCTCTCTCCCTGCAGCACTTGTTGCTGTAGGGGGGGGGGGGGGGGGGGGCGGGTGTGAGGAGCCTGCCACTCCTCCCTCCCTTCCCTCTTCCTCTCTCCCTGCAGCAACTGTTGCTGTAGGGGGGGGGGGAGAGAAGTGCAGAAGGGTGAGGGGGTGGCGGGAGAAGACAGGTGCGGAAGGTGTGAGGTTGACGGGGTTGAGTGACGAGGGGGTGAGGACTAGGGGGTTCTTAACGGGGGGGGATCGCATTGAGCGTGCGCGCTCATGCCCGCCTAGCCCACCTCCTCTCCTCATCGGGACTTGGGGGTTCTTAACGGGGGGGGATCGCTATGAGCTTTCGCGCTCAAGCCCGCCTAGCCCACCTCCTCTCCCTTCCCTCTCTCACCTCCCCTTTGTAAAAGGAGGTTCGTAAGCGGGTCCGCCGGTCCTGGCCCCCCACCTCCTCTCCTCTCCTCTCCTCTCCTCTCCTCTTCTCTCCTCTCCTCTCACCTTCCTCACTTCTCTGCCTTCTTCCACAGCGCTTGGTTTGCTCGTTCAGGGGGTGCTGGCTGCACCAGTTTCTACCGCACGCAGGCTAAGGGGGTGTGTCAAACAATATGTTTAATATATACCCTGCGTGCTGTAGGTACTGTAGTTATTATTATTAAGAGTTGGTGGTGCACCTTCTTTGTTGCTTTGCTATATGTACCTTGTGTGCTATAGTGAAACACCTCTTTCCTTGCCTAAACTCTCTCGACACTTTCTCCTCTTCACCCTAGCATGGCTCCTCACCTCTAGCTACTATCTTAACACTAATCGCTCGTTTTGGAGTACAAAACGTGGGCTGGAGGTCATTTCCCTCCACCCACGTCTCTCATTTTCAAACGGTTTAGCCATTTGAAATGAGACGATGCCAATTGCTACATGCAAGAAAGCAAGCTTTCTAAATGGCCCTATTGCGAAAATCGGGTATGAGACAAACTTTCAGGCACTCTGTGGAAAGCACAGGAAAGAGGTGTAATCATTTGTCAGCTGTACATTATGTTAGTGCCAGTTTAGATCCCAAGTTACACCGTAGGTACAAGATTGAGGTTAGATATTGATTTTTTATGGCATGGTAGAAATTATATGAACCAGTATAAGTTCTTGAGGAGTGGTAAATATAATGGTATGAAACCCAACTTCAAAGTGTATTGCTTCACAGCGCGAGCTTATGCTGTGTGACAGCCAAGGTGCCGACACCGGCAGCCGACAGCTGGCAGCTGGCCCCACAAGACCTGCCCTGCATGGTCGGCATGTGGCGCCGCTAGCATCTTCCAAGGACGACCCGATCGTTTCTACCAGCGACCGGCCGTGTAGGAACGTCGACACCTCGCGCGGCAGGAGTTACTCTCGAGACGAGACCCCTGCGAGATGTCGCTCTCGTGCTCCCCGTTCCGTGCTCTCCCCCTGCTCCCCGTGCGCCCCCATGCTCCCCGTGCTCTCCCCACGCCCGCCCGCCACCTCGCTCTTCCCCCAACGCCATCGACAGCGCCAACGTCTGCACTACTCGCCGCGTCAACCATCCCATCCTATTTCCCCCGTCCACCTTCCGAGTCCGACTGCTCCCCTGCGGCAACATCTTTTCACCGCAACAGAGATTCTCTCATCCCCAATTGCCCACGCAGCCCGTTCTTCCATCCTCTCGCTCGCTCTCGCGTTTTTCAGTACTCTCCTTTCCGTGTCCCCCGACCCATTTAGAACGCCAATATCGCCGGTCCCTCGATTCGCCCGCGCCGCCGCGATTCTTGACTCTCGTCCCTCCGCAATCCGCATCCGCGGCTGTCGCCGTGACCTGCGCACCTCGAGCTTCTTGCCGCCACCATCAGCGTGCGCGCGCTCGGCGCGCGTTGAGCCCCTCGCGCTCCGCCCCGGCACAACCTCGCAACTGCGGTCGTCGCGGGACTCGAATTCAAGTCCGATTCGCCCGAAGCAGCTTCAAAGCAGCTCTCCGCAGCCTCGCTAACAGACGCCGTCGCGGACGGGCGGACGAGAATCGGAGATGGCTGCACGGGACTCGGGCAAGGCGGCGGGGGGAGGCGGGAAGGGGCGAGGGAAGGGCGCGGCGGAAGGGGAGGGCGGAGAGGGGGAGTGGTGGCGGGAGCCGCTGTGGCAGGGCGCGATGATTGTGGGGGGCGCGGCGGTGGTGGTGGGGCTTGGAGTGAAGTACCTGATGGGGGCGAAGGGGGAGGAAGGCGCGCAGGTGCACACGGGGAAAGGGAAGGTGAGTCGTGGACGTTAGTCAGGTCGCTGGTGGTGGGGTTGGTGGGGTTGGTGGGGCTGGGAGTGAAGTAACTGATGGTGGGGAAGGGGGAGGAGGGGGCGCAGACTGCGCACAAGGGGAAAGGGAAGGTGAGTCGGGGACGCCAGTTAGGTCGCTGGTGGTGGGGTTGGTGGGGCTGGGAGTGAAGTACCTGATGGGGGCGAAGTGGGAGAAGGGAGCGCAGCCAGCACAGAAGGGGAAAGGGAAGGTGAGTCGGGAATGCGAGGCAGTTTGCTGGGATGAGGCGTGGAGCGAGAGGGGTTTATCTTGGGGTGATGGTTGGGGGTAGGGTTGGTTGTGATGAGTGGGTGATGGCGATGGTGATGGTGATGGTGATGGTGATGGTGATGGTGATGGTGATGGAAGGGCGGCATGCACATGCAAGTGATGAGCTGCACGCACAGCCACTAGCTGAGTCGCACAGCCACTAGCTGAGTCGCACAGCCACTAGCTGAGTCGCACAGCCACTAGCTGAGTCGCACAGCCACTAGCTGAGTCGCACAGCCACTAGCTGAGTCGCACAGCCACTAGCTGAGTCGCACAGCCACTAGCTGAGTCGCACAGCCACTAGCTGAGTCGCACAGCCACTAGCTGAGTCGCACAGCCACTAGCTGAGTCGCACAGCCACTAGCTGAGTCGCACAGCCACTAGCTGAGTCGCACAGCCACTAGCTGAGTCGCACAGCCACTAGCTGAGTCGCACAGCCACTAGCTGAGTCGCACAGCCACTAGCTGAGTCGCACAGCCACTAGCTGAGTCGCACAGCCACTAGCTGAGTCGCACAGCCACTAGCTGAGTCGCACAGCCACTAGCTGAGTCGCACAGCCACTAGCTGAGTCGCACAGCCACTAGCTGAGTCGCACAGCCACTAGCTGAGTCGCACAGCCACTAGCTGAGTCGCACAGCCACTAGCTGAGTCGCACAGCCACTAGCTGAGTCGCACAGCCACTAGCTGAGTCGCACAGCCACTAGCTGAGTCGCACAGCCACTAGCTGAGTCGCACAGCCACTAGCTGAGTCGCACAGCCACTAGCTGAGTCGCACAGCCACTAGCTGAGTCGCACAGCCACTAGCTGAGTCGCACAGCCACTAGCTGAGTCGCACAGCCACTAGCTGAGTCGCACAGCCACTAGCTGAGTCGCACAGCCACTAGCTGAGTCGCACAGCCACTAGCTGAGTCGCACAGCCACTAGCTGAGTCGCACAGCCACTAGCTGAGTCGCACAGCCACTAGCTGAGTCGCACAGCCACTAGCTGAGTCGCACAGCCACTAGCTGAGTCGCACAGCCACTAGCTGAGTCGCACAGCCACTAGCTGAGTCGCACAGCCACTAGCTGAGTCGCACAGCCACTAGCTGAGTCGCACAGCCACTAGCTGAGTCGCACAGCCACTAGCTGAGTCGCACAGCCACTAGCTGAGTCGCACAGCCACTAGCTGAGTCGCACAGCCACTAGCTGAGTCGCACAGCCACTAGCTGAGTCGCACAGCCACTAGCTGAGTCGCACAGCCACTAGCTGAGTCGCACAGCCACTAGCTGAGTCGCACAGCCACTAGCTGAGTCGCACAGCCACTAGCTGAGTCGCACAGCCACTAGCTGAGTCGCACAGCCACTAGCTGAGTCGCACAGCCACTAGCTGAGTCGCACAGCCACTAGCTGAGTCGCACAGCCACTAGCTGAGTCGCACAGCCACTAGCTGAGTCGCACAGCCACTAGCTGAGTCGCACAGCCACTAGCTGAGTCGCACAGCCACTAGCTGAGTCGCACAGCCACTAGCTGAGTCGCACAGCCACTAGCTGAGTCGCACAGCCACTAGCTGAGTCGCACAGCCACTAGCTGAGTCGCACAGCCACTAGCTGAGTCGCACAGCCACTAGCTGAGTCGCACAGCCACTAGCTGAGTCGCACAGCCACTAGCTGAGTCGCACAGCCACTAGCTGAGTCGCACAGCCACTAGCTGAGTCGCACAGCCACTAGCTGAGTCGCACAGCCACTAGCTGAGTCGCACAGCCACTAGCTGAGTCGCACAGCCACTAGCTGAGTCGCACAGCCACTAGCTGAGTCGCACAGCCACTAGCTGAGTCGCACAGCCACTAGCTGAGTCGCACAGCCACTAGCTGAGTCGCACAGCCACTAGCTGAGTCGCACAGCCACTAGCTGAGTCGCACAGCCACTAGCTGAGTCGCACAGCCACTAGCTGAGTCGCACAGCCACTAGCTGAGTCGCACAGCCACTAGCTGAGTCGCACAGCCACTAGCTGAGTCGCACAGCCACTAGCTGAGTCGCACAGCCACTAGCTGAGTCGCACAGCCACTAGCTGAGTCGCACAGCCACTAGCTGAGTCGCACAGCCACTAGCTGAGTCGCACAGCCACTAGCTGAGTCGCACAGCCACTAGCTGAGTCGCACAGCCACTAGCTGAGTCGCACAGCCACTAGCTGAGTCGCACAGCCACTAGCTGAGTCGCACAGCCACTAGCTGAGTCGCACAGCCACTAGCTGAGTCGCTCAGCCACTAGCTGAGTCGCACAGCCACTAGCTGAGTCGCACAGCCACTAGCTGAGTCGCACAGCCACTAGCTGAGTCGCACAGCCACTAGCTGAGTCGCTCAGCCACTAGCTGAGTCGCACAGCCACTAGCTGAGTCGCACAGCCACTAGCTGAGTCGCACAGCCACTAGCTGAGTCGCACAGCCACTAGCTGAGTCGCACAGCCACTAGCTGAGTCGCACAGCCACTAGCTGAGTCGCTCAGCCACTAGCTGAGTCGCACAGCCACTAGCTGAGTCGCACAGCCACTAGCTGAGTCGCACAGCCACTAGCTGAGTCGCACAGCCACTAGCTGAGTCGCACAGCCACTAGCTGAGTCGCACAGCCACTAGCTGAGTCGCACAGCCACTAGCTGAGTCGCACAGCCACTAGCTGAGTCGCACAGCCACTAGCTGAGTCGCACAGCCACTAGCTGAGTCGCACAGCCACTAGCTGAGTCGCACAGCCACTAGCTGAGTCGCACAGCCACTAGCTGAGTCGCACAGCCACTAGCTGAGTCGCACAGCCACTAGCTGAGTCGCACAGCCACTAGCTGAGTCGCACAGCCACTAGCTGAGTCGCACAGCCACTAGCTGAGTCGCACAGCCACTAGCTGAGTCGCACAGCCACTAGCTGAGTCGCACAGCCACTAGCTGAGTCGCACAGCCACTAGCTGAGTCGCACAGCCACTAGCTGAGTCGCACAGCCACTAGCTGAGTCGCACAGCCACTAGCTGAGTCGCACAGCCACTAGCTGAGTCGCACAGCCACTAGCTGAGTCGCACAGCCACTAGCTGAGTCGCACAGCCACTAGCTGAGTCGCACAGCCACTAGCTGAGTCGCACAGCCACTAGCTGAGTCGCACAGCCACTAGCTGAGTCGCACAGCCACTAGCTGAGTCGCACAGCCACTAGCTGAGTCGCACAGCCACTAGCTGAGTCGCTCAGCCACTAGCTGAGTCGCACAGCCACTAGCTGAGTCGCACAGCCACTAGCTGAGTCGCACAGCCACTAGCTGAGTCGCACAGCCACTAGCTGAGTCGCACAGCCACTAGCTGAGTCGCACAGCCACTAGCTGAGTCGCACAGCCACTAGCTGAGTCGCACAGCCACTAGCTGAGTCGCACAGCCACTAGCTGAGTCGCACAGCCACTAGCTGAGTCGCTCAGCCACTAGCTGAGTCGCACAGCCACTAGCTGAGTCGCACAGCCACTAGCTGAGTCGCACAGCCACTAGCTGAGTCGCACAGCCACTAGCTGAGTCGCTCAGCCACTAGCTGAGTCGCACAGCCACTAGCTGAGTCGCACAGCCACTAGCTGAGTCGCACAGCCACTAGCTGAGTCGCACAGCCACTAGCTGAGTCGCACAGCCACTAGCTGAGTCGCACAGCCACTAGCTGAGTCGCTCAGCCACTAGCTGAGTCGCACAGCCACTAGCTGAGTCGCACAGCCACTAGCTGAGTCGCACAGCCACTAGCTGAGTCGCACAGCCACTAGCTGAGTCGCACAGCCACTAGCTGAGTCGCACAGCCACTAGCTGAGTCGCACAGCCACTAGCTGAGTCGCTCAGCCACTAGCTGAGTCGCACAGCCACTAGCTGAGTCGCACAGCCACTAGCTGAGTCGCACAGCCACTAGCTGAGTCGCACAGCCACTAGCTGAGTCGCACAGCCACTAGCTGAGTCGCTCAGCCACTAGCTGAGTCGCTCAGCCACTAGCTGAGTCGCACAGCCACTAGCTGAGTCGCTCAGCCACTAGCTGAGTCGCTCAGCCACTAGCTGAGTCGCTCAGCCACTAGCTGAGTCGCACAGCCACTAGCTGAGTCGCACAGCCACTAGCTGAGTCGCACAGCCACTAGCTGAGTCGCACAGCCACTAGCTGAGTCGCACAGCCACTAGCTGAGTCGCACAGCCACTAGCTGAGTCGCTCAGCCACTAGCTGAGTCGCACAGCCACTAGCTGAGTCGCACAGCCACTAGCTGAGTCGCACAGCCACTAGCTGAGTCGCACAGCCACTAGCTGAGTCGCACAGCCACTAGCTGAGTCGCACAGCCACTAGCTGAGTCGCACAGCCACTAGCTGAGTCGCTCAGCCACTAGCTGAGTCGCACAGCCACTAGCTGAGTCGCACAGCCACTAGCTGAGTCGCACAGCCACTAGCTGAGTCGCACAGCCACTAGCTGAGTCGCACAGCCACTAGCTGAGTCGCTCAGCCACTAGCTGAGTCGCTCAGCCACTAGCTGAGTCGCACAGCCACTAGCTGAGTCGCTCAGCCACTAGCTGAGTCGCTCAGCCACTAGCTGAGTCGCTCAGCCACTAGCTGAGTCGCACAGCCACTAGCTGAGTCGCACAGCCACTAGCTGAGTCGCACAGCCACTAGCTGAGTCGCACAGCCACTAGCTGAGTCGCACAGCCACTAGCTGAGTCGCTCAGCCACTAGCTGAGTCGCTCAGCCACTAGCTGAGTCGCACAGCCACTAGCTGAGTCGCTCAGCCACTAGCTGAGTCGCTCAGCCACTAGCTGAGTCGCTCAGCCACTAGCTGAGTCGCTCAGCGCTGTTCCATGCCTTCTGCACACTTGCCTCTCCCCCCTCGGCTTGCCTCGTCCCACTCACCTTGCCTCTCCCCCCTCGCGTGTGTCCATCTTGTGCGTCTGTGTGCTGGCTGGTGTGCATGCGTGAGGGAGATGTGCCCATGAATGCATGCATGTATGTGTGGGTGTCTGCATGTGTGCCTGTGTGCGTGCGTGCATCTGTGCATTCGCATGGGTGCATGGTTGTATGTTTGCATGCCTTCATATTTGCCCCCACTCCCTTCCCAATCTCCCCATCACAGGCGAAGGTGAGGCCCATGTGCAGGCGCTGGTGGTGGATCCGGACATGACAGTCAAGGTCTAGATGCGCACATATCTACATGTCTACATGTTTGTGTGCATGTCCACCCCTCCCCCCACCCACAGGCGAAGGTGCGGCGCCACGTGCAAGCACTGGTGGTGCATCCGGATATGACAGCCAAGGTGCACAAAGCTCGTGATGTGTGGGTGTCCACATGTGCACATGTCTACATGTATGTGTGCATGTCTCCCCCCCACCCCCCACAGGCGAAGGTGCGGCGGCATGTGCAAGCGCTAGTGGTGGATCCGGACATGACAGTCAAGGTGCACAAAGCGGATGTGTGCACATGACAGCCAATGTGCCATGTCGTGAGCAGATGTGTGCTCGTGCCTTCGTGTGTGCTTCCACCGCCCCACCCCCATCACAGGCGAAGGTGAGGCGGCATGTGCAGGCGCTGGTGGTGGATCCGGACATGACAGTCAAGGTGCACAAAGGGGACACTCTCTGGGGCCTGGCTCACAAGTACCAGGTGAGGGGGCCTGTCGCACAAGTACCAGGTGAGGGGGCCTGTCGCACAAGTACCAGGTGAGGGGGCCTGTCGCACAAGTACCAGGTGAGGGGGCCTGTCGCACAAGTACCAGGTGAGGGGGCCTGTCGCACAAGTACCAGGTGAGGGGGCCTGTCGCACAAGTACCAGGTGAGGGGCGGGACCATGTCAGCTGTCCCTGCACTGTTAGGCTCCCCCCTTGTGTTGCTCCCTTCCATGCTCTGGGGCCTGGCGCACAAGTACCAGGTGAGGGGTGGGACCAGATAAATTTTGTCTGCACTCTCAGCCTTCCACCCATGTTTCTCCCTTCCTCGCTCTCAGCGTTGCCTACCTTTCCTCCTGTCTCCGCATGCAGCCCACTATGCTATTCTCCCCGCACAATGTTCTCTGCCGCGCGCTTGCGCTTTGTCATCCAGGCATGGCCTTCGGAGGGCTGACCCCTGCCACATGCCACCAATAACCTTGAGATGCTTGCGCCCCCGCCAGCTTTCAGACACAGCCATCCAGTTGCTGCCCGCCTCATGCCTTCATACTCCCCTTTTCATGTGTCTTTAATGTTGTTTTCCGTATGTCCCCCTGTGCGCCGCCATGCGCCCCCATGCGCCGCCATGCACCCCATGCTTCCCCCCCAGGTGCCAGTGGATGCGCTGCGCAGTGCGAATTCCGAGGTGCGGGGCGACCAGGTGTGCCCGTGTTCCACCTCCACACGCCCCTCTCGTGTGCCTCTAACATTGTGACCCTGCCAACCCATGCACCCCCGTGCACCCATGCGCCCCCAGGTGCCAGTGGATGCGCTGCACAGTGCAAATCTGGAGGTGGGGGCGACCAGGCCTTCACACGCCCCTCTCGTGTGCGTCTAACATTGTGAGCCCCGCCAAACCATGTGCCCCATCACCCCCCCACGCCCCCCCAGGTGCCAGTGGAGTGGACGCGCTGCGCAGTGCGAATCCCGAGGTGCGGGGTGACCAGGTGCTGGCGGGGTCTCCTGTCTACATCCCCTGTGCGCCCCATGTGCCCCATTCCCATGTGCCCTTATGCTCCCGCAGGTGCCAGTGGACGCGCTGCGCAGCGCAAACCCCGAGGTGAGGGGCGACCAGGTGCTGGCGGGGTCGCGCCTGTTCATCCCCAACGTCATCAGCAACGAGGAGTTTGACGTGCGCGCCAACGAGGAGTAGGGGGGCTTGCACAGGCAGCAGGGAGAGGGGGGTGGGGGGGGGCGGGGGCATGGCACGGCATGTGGGAGGGGGCAGTGTGCACGTGGAGCGGTGTCAGGGATGCGAGGAGGAGGATGGCATCAGCGACGAGGAGTTTGACGTGCGCGGCAACGAGGAGTGGGAGCTTGCACTCGCAGCAGGGGAGTGATGATACACTGCATGTGGGGTGGAGCAGTGCTCACATGGAGGCATTGTAAGGATGCGAGGAGGGTGTGTGGAGGCAACAGCACAGGCGGCATGCGCACGAGTGACTGCTGTCAGAATGAAATGGTTGTCTAGCCTGCAGTGGGGTACTCTATAGCGAGTATAGCCCGAATTAGGGTTTCCTATATGTACTCAACTGCTTGCTAGTGAAATCCCTCTTTCCTGTTTCTCGTTTTTGCCTAGCCTGTTTAACATGCTATCAGAGCAGGTCGACCCTCCTGGGTCGATCCTGTGGGTGGTCCCACCAGAAGCTTCCGCTGTTGTTTCCTGCCTGCCGCGCGCTCCGAGCGTGCGGCGACTTTTCTTCCCGCCGCGCGCTCGGGGCGCGCGGCGGTTTTCTGCCCCGTCGACAGTCGCGTCGCCCCCCGCCGGAGCCCGTCGTGTCGCCTCGCGACCCGCGCGTCGCCCCCCGTCGCCCGACGCGGCCCGCGCGACCTGCGCCAGGCCCGCGCGCGGCCCGTACGGGCTGCGCCAGGCCCGCGCGCGGCCCGTACGGGCTGCGCCAGGCCCGCGCGCGGCCCGTACGGCCTGCGCCAGGCCCGCGCGCGGCCCGTACGGGCTGCGCCAGGCCCGCGCGCGGCCCGGGCAGCCCGCGCGCGGCTCGTCCGGCCTGCGCCAGGCCCGTGCGCGCCCCGGGCAGCCTGTCCTGTTAAACTGTATTATGTTTGTAGGCTGTAGTGGGGTAGCCAATATGGGGTACAACCCCAACTAGGGTTTGCTACTTGTACCCAATTCTTCCATTCAATGCACCATTCTTGCCTAGTTCTTTTAACATGGTATCAGAGCAGGAGGTCCCTAGGACCTACCGACCTTTTTTTTAAGGGCCCACCACCGCTCGCATGCGGTTACCACGCTACCCCGTGCCCTAGCCTCGTAGCGCCCTCGTGCGCCCTCGTTAGTGCCCTCGTGCGCCCTCGTTAGTGCCCTCGCGCGCCCTCGTTAGCGCCCTCGTGCGCCTCTCGTTAGCGCCCTCGCGCGCCCTCGCTAGCGCCCTCGCGCGCCCTTGTTAGCGCCCTCGTGCGCCTCTCGTTAGCGCCCTCGCGCGCCCCTCGCAGCGTCGCCCGCCCGCCGAGCCGCCCGCTCGCAGCGTCGCCCGCCCGCCCGCTGCCCGCTTCGCAGCGTCGCCCGCCCGCCGTGCTGCCCGCTCGCAGCGTCGCCCGCCCGCCTCGCTGCCCGCTTCGCAGCCCGCCCGCCGCGCTGCCCGCTCGCCGCGTCGCCCGCCCGCCTCGCTGCCCGCTTGCAGCGTCGCCCGCCCGCTGCCCGCTTCGCAGCCCGCCCGCCGCGCTGCCCGCTCGCAGCGTCGCCCGCCCGCCCGCTGCCCGCTTGCAGCGCTGCCCGCCCGCCCGCTGCCCGCTTCGCAGCCCGCCCGCCGCGCTGCCCGCTCGCCGCGTCGCCCGCCCGCCCCGCTGCCCGCTTCGCAGCCCGCCCGCCGCGCTTCCCGCCGAGCTACCTACCTGCAGCGCTGCGGCAGCTTCCTTTGCTCAGTCGCACTGTCACTATGGCTTCCATCCGCGTGCTGTCGTTCGATGCTGAGGGCCGCCCTGTGAAGTTCGCAACTTGGCTGGACGACCTGCAGCTGTTCCTTCTGAGCGATAGCAAGGAGCATGTGTCGCTCTATGATTACGCGTCTGGTGCTGCACCTGCCCCTCCTGCCACAGCTGAGCTTAGTGTTCGTTCCCACTGGCAGACTCGTGACGCAGCTGCTCGCCTAGCCATTCGCAGTCACCTGCCGCTAGCTGAGCTCGAGCATTTTGGCGACTGCAAATCCGCTAAGGCCCTGTACGATGCTGTCGTTGCTCGCTACTCCTCGCCTGCCACAGCCGAGCTTAGCCGCCTCATGCTGCCGTACCTGTTCCCTGAGCTGTCCACCTTTGCTACAGTCGCCGATCTTATCACCCACCTTCGCACTAGTGATGCTCGCCTGCGTGCTGCCCTTCCCACCGAGTTCTGCGCTAAGAACCCCCCTCCACTGTACTGGACACTCCACTTCATAGTCACCCGACTCCCTGACACCCTCAGCTCAGTTCGAGACCACTTCCTTGCTCGCTGTCCCACTGAGCTCACAGTCGCCCTCCTAGAGGAGCAGCTGCTAGCGGCCGAAAAGAGCATTGTAGCTGTCGGTGCTGCTCGTGGCGCTCCTCGCACCCCCATCTTTGAGGGGTGTTCTCCCTCTCCTTTCGCTCCCTCCTCCGCTACTGCTGCTGCTGTTGACTTCCTTGGTGCTGAGTCTGCTGGCGCTGCTTCTACTCCTGGTGGGAGGCGCCGCACCGGCAAGGGCAAGGGGGGCAAGGGTGGCGGGGGTGGCGCTGGGGGGGGAGGAGGTGGGGGAGGTGGGGGGGGAGGCGGTGCTGGAGGGAGCGGTGGCGGGAGTGCTGGTGGGAGTGGGGTCGGCAGCGGAGGCGGGGGCGGCGGAGGGAGCGGTGGCGGTGGTGGCGGCGGTGGCGGCGGCGGCGGCGGTGGCGGCGGCGGCGGTGGCGGTCGGAGCGGAGGTAGTGGTGGTGGCGGAGGTCGGAGTGGAGGCACTGGCTCGGGCCAGAGCTCCCAGCAGCAGCAGCGTCCCCAGACGACCCAGCAGCTTCGTGAGTGGCTTGCTCAGCGTGGGACGTCGGGGGGCAATGGCCGCTGTTCCTATGTCATTCGCACAGGTGACCGCAAGGGACAGACGTGTGGGAGGTTCCACACCCCGTACCGCTGCTTCTCCCGCCTTGACGACGCTTGGCGTGAGGAGATGGGCGAGGATGTTGAGCGCCCCCGCTGGGCTGAGCTCATGAGGGCTGGTGTTGATATCTTTGCTCTTGACTATGATGCTATTATTGCTGCCATGTATGCATTGACTGTTAGTGCCGAGGGAGACTGTTACTTGTGTGTGCCGCCTGACCCAGGTATAGAGCCCGCTGTCCTGGGTACTAGTGAGTCTGCTCTCTCTGGTATGGTGCCCCCTGTACTTGCTCCCTCCAGTGCTGTCCCGACTGTTTGCGAGTCTGCTCTCTCAGGTACAGCACCCACAGAGACTGCTCTCTCAGGTACCGCACCGGCTGAGGCCTGTCACACCTTCACCCTTGACTCAGGTGCTTCCCGCTGTTTCTTTCGTGACAGTACTGAGCTCACACCGCTTCCTGCACCGGTCCCAGTCTCCTTGGCTGACCCCTCTGGGGGCCCAGTCCTTGCCCAGTCCACCACTGTGCTCCCTTGTCCAGCGGTTCCGTCTGGCTCGTTGTCGGGTTTCCACCTCCCCTCGTTTTTGACGAACCTCGTGAGCAACGCTGTCATCCAGGATCAGTGGGTTGACACCTTTACCCCTGGAGGACAGCGTGTGGCGATCTGCACGTGCTCCAGGACTGGCCGTCACCTGGCTACACACTGACCACTGCGTCTCCTCAGGTCGCTGCTGTCGGTCAGGTGTCCGCGTCAGGTCTGGTGGCCCACGCCTGTGAGTGTCGTTCCCTGTCGCACCAGACCCTTCTCTGGCACCACCGCCTGGGTCACCCCTCCTTGCCACGCCTCCGTGGCATGCACCGTCGCAGCCTTGTGTCTGGTCTTCCCAGGTCCCTCCCTCCCCTCCCTGCCTCGCCTGCGCCGCCCTGCCTTCCTTGCGTCGAGGGGCGGCAGCGCGCCGCTCCTCACTCCTCCTCGTTCCCCCCGACAGAGGCTCCTCTGCAGACCCTCCACCTGGACGTGTGGGGCCCTGCCCGCGTTCGTGGCCAGGGCGGTGAGCGGTACTTTTTGCTGGTTGTCGACGACTACTCGCGTTACACCACGGTCTTCCCCTTGCGCACCAAGGGTGAGGTCCCTGCTGTTCTGATCCCTTGGATCCGCACAGTTCGTCTCCAGCTCCGCCGCCGTTTCCGGACAGACCTTCCTGTCCTGCGTCTGCACTCTGACAGAGGTGGTGAGTTTTCCTCCGACCTCTTGAGGACCTTCTGTCAGGCGGAGGGCATTGAGCAGACCTTCACGCTTCCGGACTCCCCGCAGCAGAATGGGGTTGCTGAGCGCCGCATTGGCCTGGTCATGGAGGTCGCTCGTACCTCCTTGGTCCACGCGGCGGCTCCCCATTTTCTGTGGCCGTTTGCTGTCCGGTACGCCGCGCATCAGCTCAACCTCTGGCCCCGTGTCTCCTTGCCGGAGACCTCGCCCACACTGCGTTGGACGGGGGAGGTTGGCGATGCGTCGCGCTTCCGGGTGTGGGGTGCTCGTGCCCTTGTCCGCGATACGTCCGCGGACAAGCTCTCCTCCCGCACACTTCCCTGTGTCTTCCTTGGCTTTGTTCCTGACGCGCCGGGCTGGCAGTTTTACCACCCCACCTCGCGCCGGGTCTTCGCCTCTCAGGACGTCACCTTTGACGAGTCGGTCCCTTTTTACCGTCTCTTCCCCTACCGCACTGCCCCCCTCCCTCCCCCGCCGCTTTTCCTTGCTCCTGGTCCCCCTCCGGTAGACCCCCTTCCCCCTCAGGGTCCTGCTCCTTCAGGTGTCTCTCAGGTAGATCCTCCTCCCGTCGCTGAGCCTGTCGAGGTCACAGGTGACTCAGGTGCTGCTGCAGGTGGTGCTGCTGGGAGTGCTGAGCCTGGGGGTGCTGAGCCTGCGGGTGCTGGGCCTGGGAGTGCTGGGACTGCGGGTACTGGAGCTGAGGGTACTGTGCCTGGGAGTTCGGCGCCTGGGAGTGGTGAGCCTGGGGGTGCTACGACTGGGGGTGCTGAGCCTGCGTGTACGGAGTCTGGGGGTGCTGAGCCTGGGGGTACTGCGCCTGAGGGTACTGGGCCTGGGGGTGCTGCTGCTGAGCCTACGGAGCCTGGGGTTGCTGCGTCTGGGGGTGCTCTTCCTGGCGGTACTGGAGCTGCTGGAGCTGACGACGCTGGAGCTGACGGTTCTGGACACGGTGGTCCTGCTGGTTCTGGAGGTGCTGGCGAGGGGAGGTCTGTCGCTGCTGGGGCCTCTGGTGCTGACGTCGCCGACTCGGGGGGTGCTGTGGCGGAGGGTGCTGGTCCAGGTGCTTCTGGTGCTCCGGGTGCTGGAGGTGCTGGCGGAGCTCCGCCGTCGCGCCTGTTCTTCGCTCCTCCGTCGCCGTCGGCTTTGCCGCCGCCTGACACGGTTCTTCGCCAGGTTCTTTCCCTCCCGTCTTCCACTGGCCTTCCCCTTCAGCCTGGCTCCCCCCTCCCTGCTCCTGTGCCTTATACTGCACAGCCGGACTCGCTTACGGAGCGTCGTGAGCCTGCGTCTCGTCCTGCCTCGCCTGTTCGCGCTGCTCGCGCTGCTCGCACTGCGCGCACTGGTCCCACTGGTCGTCGTGTCGCGCGTCCGCGTCCTCCTCCTGTTCCTGGCACGCATATTATGGCCCTTCGTCCTTCCACTGGTCCACAGCGTGTCCCCCTACCGTCTCCTCCTGCGTCTTCTCTTCCTGACGTTCCCGACCCTGAGTCTGACAGTGTTCGTGCTGCCCACCCTACTGTTACGCGTCTTCTCGCCACTGTTGTCACTGACCCGTCGTTTGAGTCTGCTGCTGCGTCTGCCCTGGTCGCTGAGCTTGTCGACTTTGCTGCTGCCTGTCGTCTAGACTACGCCGCCAGTCTTGTTGCCGGGTCTGAGTCTGTCTGTCCTCCGTCCGTCGGGGGTGAGTGTGCTCTTGGCACGGACGTCCTTGAGGACAGGCAGGAGGACTTTGACTCTCTTGCGGCTGCTGTACCTCATCTCGTGGCCTGGTTGCTTGCCCCTGAGGGAGACCCGGATGCACTAGACATCCCCACTCCGCGCTCTTACGCAGAGGCGATCTCGGGTCCCTACTCCTCTCAGTGGCAGACAGCCATGGACGCAGAGATGGCATCCTGGAAGTCCACAGGCACCTACGTCGACGAGGTTCCCCCTCCTGGGGCGAACATCGTCGATGGCATGTGGATTTTCAGGGTGAAGTGGCCGCCGGGTTCTCCACCTGTCTTCAAGGCTCGTTACGTTGCTAGAGGCTTCAGTCAGCGTCAGGGGGTTGACTTCTTCCAGACCTTCTCCTCCACCCCGAAGATGACCACTCTTCGGGTTCTGCTACACGTTGCTGCTCAGCGTGACTACGAGCTTCACTCTCTTGACTTCAGCACAGCGTTCCTGCAGGGCAGCCTGCACGAGGAGATCTGGCTGCGCCGCCCACCTGGCTTTACTGGGTCGTTTCCTCCTGGTACCCAGTGGAGCCTCCGCCGGCCAGTCTACGGTCTCCGCCAGGCGCCACGTGAGTGGCACGACACACTGAGGACTACACTTGCAGCTCTTGGGTTCGCGCCGTCTACTGCTGACCCGTCGCTGTTTCTGCGCACAGACACGTCGCTACCGCCGTTCTACATTCTCGTGTACGTCGACGACTTGGTCTTTGCTACTGCTGACACTGAGGCACTCGCTCGTGTGAAGTCGGAGCTGCAGAAGAGACACACCTGCACAGACCTGGGTGAACTGCGTAGCTACCTTGGCTTGCAGATCACCCGGGACAGAGCTCGCCGCACCATCACCCTGACTCAGTCACACATGGTGCAGCAGGTCCTTCAGCGCTTCGGCTTCCAGTTCTCCTCACCACAGGCCACACCTCTGGCTACCAGCCACTCGCTCTCAGCTCCACCTTCGGACGAGTCCGTAGAGCCGAGTGGCCTGTACCCAGAGCTTGTAGGCTGCCTCATGTACCTGATGACTTGCACGCGACCTGACCTCGCGTACCCACTTAGCATCCTTGCTCGTTACGTTGCGCCTGGGAGACACAGGCGAGAGCACTGGGAGGCTGCTAAGAGGGTGCTGCGTTACTTGTGCAGTACATCAGGCATGGGGCTGGTGCTTGGAGGACGCGACAGAGTTGTCCTCACTGGTCACTCGGACGCTTCTTGGGTGGACGACCTGGCTACGCAGCGGTCGTCACAGGGTTACACCTTCAGCCTTGGCTCTGGTTCTGTCTCGTGGCGGTCCACCCGCTCTTCTTCTGTTCTCGGCTCTAGTTGTGAGGCTGAGATCTACGCCACAGCCATGGCTGCACAGGAGTTACGCTGGCTCACCTACCTGCTGACTGACTTGGGAGAGCGGCCTAGTTCTCCTCCAGTTCTGTACGGTGACAACAAGGCGGCCCTTGCCTTGTGTCAGGAGCACAGACTGGAGCACAGGACGAAGCACATTGCTCTTCGCTACTTTCTTGCTCGAGAGCTTCAGCAGCGCGGTCAGCTTCGGCTTGTGTACGTGGACTCGAAGGCCAACACTGCTGATATCTTCACCAAGGCGCTCCCGTCTAGTGATCATCAGCGGCACTGTACTTCTTTAGGCCTTGTGTCCACTTTTCCTCATTTGCTTACTGCTTGACTTTCTTTGTACTGTACTTTATATATATCTTGCTGCTTGTCCTGTTCTATATCTAGCACTGCATGTGAACTGGCCTTGTGGCCTTTGCTTGTGCTCGGAGTGTGGTGACGTTGTGATCCACCCTGGGCTTTGCTTTGCTTTGCTGGACTGGTCTTGTGACCCTTTGTTCTCCCCCACTTTGCCTATGGGGGTGTGTTAAACTGTATTATGTTTGTAGGCTGTAGTGGGGTAGCCAATATGGGGTACAACCCCAACTAGGGTTTGCTACTTGTACCCAATTCTTCCATTCAATGCACCATTCTTGCCTAGTTCTTTTAACATATCCCAGTGCCGCATGCCGTCCCCCGAGCTTTTGACGGCGCCCCACCCCTGCTGCTGCCCGCGTTCCTGTGTTAGGGTTTGGGGGTGGAGAGTATGGGGGTGCCGTGTGTGTGAGCCGTCCCCTGCTCCTCCTCCTCCTCCGTCTCCCACTGCTGCAGCTACCGCTGAGGGGGGTGGATGTGTTGGAGCCGTCGGAGTGGTACGAGGGGGGTGGCGTGTGAGCGGTGCTAGTGGTTCGACAGGAAGTGTGTGAACGGGGTGTGGGACAGTTGGGGGAGGTTGACCGGAGGTAGCCGACTTGTCGTCCGCAGCGCCTGAAGTCCAGGGAGCCACGACCCCCTGTGGCCTGAGTAGTCCGGGGCTCTGCGCCCGGTAGCCACAGTGTGAGCACTCCTGGTAGTCCAGAGAGCCACGACCCCCTGTGGCCTGAGTAGTCCGGGGCTCTGCGCCTGGTAGCCACAGTGTGAGCACTCCTGGGAGCACAGCGAGCCAGCTGCGTCTGTCGCCGTGTAGTCCGGGTTTAGCCTGGTAGCGACAGTACTACGCACTCCTGCTGCCCGTGTGTCTGCAGCTTCAGCCGTCGCCTCCCATCTTCTCGCCCCCACAGTTTCTCCTCCTCCTCACTTGCTCTCTGTGCTAGCCGCTAGCTTTGCTTATAATTGTGAACTACTGCTCTGCCTGCTTGTTGTATTGATTGTACCCCACTTTGACTATGGGGGTGTGTCAGAATGTAATGGTTGTCTAGCCTGCAGTGGGGTACTCTATAGCGAGTACAACCCGAATTAGGGTTTCCTATATGTACTCAACTGCTTGCTAGTGAAATCCCTCTTTGCCTATTTCTCGTTTTCGCCTAGCCTGTTTAACAACTGCACCTCCCTCTGTCGTGTCTCTCAAGCTGTAGCCTCAGCCACTTGCCGCTGCTGCTGCTGCTGCTGCTGCTGCCCTGCTGCAATGGCTGCACTAGGGGAGGTGTGAGCGGCTAAGGCTAGTGGACCTCCAGAGTTTTTCCAGGGTTAGTTAGGGGGTATTACTACCGTAAAAATACAGAATCCTTCTTAACATGGATTTTGTGCATAACTACAGGTTCTTGAGTGATGATTGATGTGCTTCATTTGGTTATTGTACAGATTGATCAGTTAAAAAAGAACGCACACCTGCAAATGGTGTTGCATTCTATTCTAGCTACTGGGCTACCCATCAAACCACCCTCATCGTCACTACCCTTCTGAATAGTCAAACTGGAAGTGCAGTTCTGTTCTGCAATCCCTGCATCTTTGCCTTCCTCGTGCCGCTGCGAGTGCTCTCATCAAATAACGTGTTATTCGAGGGTGAGGAGAGCAGCTCAAGCATCTTGCACAATCACCTGGCCTCTCGATATCAGGGTAAAACACCCTTATGGCCCTTACTATAAGGGTGGGTTTAGGTGATCACCCTTGTTTTTAAAAGTTGTTTTATGACACACCCTTAGCAGAAAAAGTGTTCATTGTGTTAACACTGATATTTAAGACAGGCCTGGTGTACTCGCCCTGATGACCAAGACTAGTGTCGTGTACCACCCTGACGCGATTTGACGGGGGGGGGGGGGGGGGGGGGAGGGGGGGGGGGGGGGTACTGACGCGATTTGGGCCGTGATTAGTGGCGTTTTTCCTGAGTCAGCAGATGTGCGCGGCGCCACTGCCACTGACCCGTCAACTGAACCTGGCTCACCTGCAATTTCCCCACCTGGCAATGCCGCGCAGCGCCACACACACCTGCTTCGTGCAGGATGTGTGTCCTGCTTGGAAGCATCTTCTTCCCTCCCCAGCAGGCCCCCACCCACCGACCAGTCTCTCCCACGCACCCAACCCAGTCTCTCCTCGTTTCACTTCTCCTGTACTGCCTCCTCGCTATCTCGTCCGGTCGAGGGTTTGCAAACCACCCCACCACCACGCTCTCACACAGCTAGTGTAGGCCCAGTTCCTGCATCCATCCCTCTTGCCCTCGCCATGGCTGCTGACGAAACCACCGATGGTGTCGACGAGGCACGTCGTCACCAGCAAAAATCACTCCCGCGTACGGGCCTCTGCTTTCTACAAATCCCCGCTAAGAAGCTGTTAGATCCGGAGCCCGTAGTTGCTTCAACAGAGGATGAAGCCCACGTGGATGAAGTGGGGCGAGACTTGCGGTCACCCGAAGTTTGCACTACCACGACGGAACCTGAACCTCCAGAAGCGACGGCTCCAGAAACAGAGATTGGCGATGCGGCTGGCGACTCTGCGAACAAGAAGCGCAAAGAGTCAAGCAATGGCGGTGGCAAGCCGTGGTGGCGACAACCGAAGCCCTCTTCGAAGCGGTCGGCCCGTCCAATCCGACGAGTGGAGGACGCGGGGAGTGACGACGACGAGGATGACGATGGCCTGCCGACTGTCGAAGAGATGGCCCGTTACCCCGAAATCGCTTTCGCTAAAGCGCATAAGCGATTCAAGACGTCGTGGGAGTCTTTGTTTCCGTGGCTAATTTTAACTCGTGATGACGTTGGTTTCCCCATTTTGAGATGCAGCACGTGCTTCGAACATGGAGCTGAAGGCGCGAAAACGGCCTATGGCAAGGGAGGCAGTGGAGGGCGTGACATGCAGAAGGGGAGCATCCGGACGCACCAACGGTCCACCGCACACCAGGACGCACACGCCGAGATGAAGTCGAAGTTGAGCCGGAAGCTTCGTCAAACGATGCTGAGCGAGTTCGAGGGCTTGGATCGCAGCACGCATCACATCATCACAGCTCTCAAGACCACCGTGTTCATCTGCAAGTCGGAGGCGCCAATCACCTCGTACGTGGGCACGATCAAGTTCATGGCCGAGCTCGGAGTCCCGAACCTTCCCTTGGATTCCAAGGGAAACTACTTCTCGGAGTAAGTTTCGGGGAACGCGCTGTCGTTGTACTTGTTCCGTTATAACTGACTTGTTCCGTGCTAACCACTGTGCTTGTATCATGCAGGTACGGTTTCGGGGAGCTACTAGATGCTGCCGCGAAATACATGCGGCAAGAGCAACTGAAGCAGCTCGAGGCGAGCCCGTACATCTCCATTCAGCTCGATGAAAGTACTGACAAGGCGCGCGGCAAGCATATGATCGTCTACGTCCACTTCATGAGGGAGGGAGCGAGCGTCTGTGAGTTCCTCACGCTGCTGACAGTTGACAAAGGTGACGCGGCTAGTCTCGTCGACGTGCTACTGACCCACCTTGACGCCGTGGGCATTGACATGTCCAAGATCGTTGGAATCAGCACCGACGGCGCCAGAGTCATGACGGGCACCAGCAATGGTGTTGTGGCGCGACTCCGCCTGCGGAATCCTTATCTCGTGTCGTGCCACTGCATCGCACATCGGTAAGTCCGTATATGTTAATGGCTTCATGACATGTGTGTAGTGTTGATCATGTACTGCCCACTCACATCAGTCGCTCGTTTTCCTGTTCTGCCTTGAGCAGGGAGGCGTTGGCCGCGAAAGATGCTGCTGAGAAGGTGACGGAGTTCAACATCATAGACCAGGCGGTGCGGAACGTGGCGGAGCAGCTTTCTAGGTCGAGCAACTGGCACCAACGATTCGAGCACCTTCAGGAGTACATCTGCGAAACCAACTTGGAGCTGCAGGGGATCAACGACGTGCGGTGGCTCTCTAGAGGAGAGGCAGTCAAGCGGTTCGCCAAGGTTCTGCCGGCGACGATCGTCCTGCTAAACGATTTCAAGCACGCGCTCTATGAAACGGTCACCTCCTTCAAATTCCACTTCATGCTTTTCTTCCTTGCAGACATTCTTGCCGTGCTCAACGAGCTCAATGCCAAGTTCCAGAAGCAGCAGGTGATATGTGGAGTGTTTTGCTTGTCCTCGTTTGCGGTTGTTTCACTACCATGTTCACGGTTGTTGTAAGTGGAGATTGTTGTACATCAACCTCTGGCAGCAACTATTCATCCCACCCCCACTCCCAGGTTGATATCACGGTGGTCGCGGGGGAGGTGTCGCTCGCTTGCAGAACGATCGAGGTGCGTTACGTGGACTGCGAGGATCGTTTCGGCAACGATCAGTCGCCCCTGCTCTGCGCGTTCCTGAAGAAGCACGGCAACCCGGAGCACCGCGAAGTCACCGTCAACGGTGTGGACCAGAACGGAGACGCTGCAGAGCACAAGTTCGTGCTTCACGAGCGCAAGTTCCCAGGCCATACGACTGGCGGGGACTACTACTCCTGCAAGGCGGTGTGCCAGGAGTTTGCGAGGGTCTGCGTTGCCCGACTGGAGTTCCGCCTGGAAGACCTCAAGGACCTGGCCGGCTCCAAGCTTTTCCGGCCGTCATGCTATCTCGACGACAAGGAGGAGCGGATGAAGAAGTGCCGCGAGTGGTTGCGCATGCTTGACCGCATGTTTCGCCACCGCCTCTTTGGTACGCCGCCTGGTTGTGCCTGCAATTTGCTGTCTGCTCTGTGTGTGTGGTTACCTTGGTGTGATGTTAAACACCACACCTCCCATACGCCCCGATCGCCCCTCTCACTGCTCTGCTCTCCCATCCTGGCAGGTGTGTGCTTCAAGGCGTGCGAGAGGGAGCTACCGTTGTTTCTCCACACCATGGACACCAACCACGGCAACATGAGCTTCCATAAGTCGCTCGCGCTCATGCTCCAGTCAACTGACTGGCGGGGAGCCTACCCGAACCTTGTGCAGCTGTGGCAGGCCGTAGCTGTGCTTCCCCTCAGCACGGTGGAGTGCGAGCGCGGCTTCAGTCGCCAGAACCGTATCAAGACGTGGAAGCGGACCTGCCTGGGAGACGCCCGACTGGGCGATCTGATGACTGCAGCTCTCCTGCCCAGCGATGGTCTGAACTGGGTGAATGTGGTAGACGTGTTCAATGCCAGCAAGAAGCGCCGTCCGGGCCAGGAGTTTCTGTATTGAGTTGGTATGGTATTCTGCTCCACCATGTAGTCGTGCTGCTGTTATTGTTCTAGTTGTAGGCTTGTAGATGTAGTTCTTTGTTACAACAATACATGATGGTAAGTAAACATATAATGGTACAAGTAATCGAGGTGCACAGCACACTGACGAGCAAGAGTAACACTGCAGCCAACACTGATAAACAAGACTGAGGTGGATGCCCCACCCTTACTGAAAGACCAGCTTTGGCAAACTGCCCTTTCGACCAAGAGTGCTTCCAAACCTATCCAGAGGCCAGACAATCACCCTTACCACAGCCCTAAACTGGACGCAAAAACTTGCAAGTGCCTGATTGCAATCCTTACATCTTCCTCCTCATCCCCACTTGGTCCAGCTGAATCCCGCCCACATGAGAATGCCACATGCATCACACAGTGTGGCGTCCATAACCAGTGAGGCTGTTCATATGACGTGTTGGGCTACAATGAGCAGCTTCAGCATCTTCGTCGCCCTCAGTTCCTACGGCACCGGCCCAAACACTCTCGTCCCCTGCCTACCCGTCCAAACAATCACCCCCTCACCACTGCCCCACCCGGACGCAGAAATAGCAAGCGCCCACCTGCATCCTCCTCATCCCCACTTGCTCCAGCTGAGGCCACGCCCACAACAAACCCTCACTTTCATGATCCCAATGTGTGCCATTCCTACACCAACGGCTGCTGTCTTCACACACGTGCTATGTCTGTGGCCTTTATATGACATGTTGTGCAAGAGTGAGCAGCTTGAGCATCTTGCGTGCCCGCAGCTCATGCGGCACGGGCCCAAACACACGCGTCCCCACCGGCTCCCCAGCCTTGCTGATCACCACCGCGGCCGGCCCGTCAAACCGAACCTCCGTCCCATCCTTACGCTTGTGGTGCGCGGCACGCACCACCACGCACGTCACCACCTCCCCCTTGCGCACCTTCCCCCGCGGCTCCGCGTCTTTCACTGAGGCGATTATCACGTTGCCCAGGCCTGCCGCGTTGGGTGCGCGCCCGCGCAGGACTTTGATGCACTGCACGCGGCGGGCGCCTGAGTTGTCGGCGACTTGCAGGTTCGTGCGCAGCTGCACGAAGGTGCGCGTGGGGGTCAGGGGGAGGGCGGGTGTGGGGGTTCTGGGGGAGGAGGTGGTGAGAGGTGTGGGCATGAGGGGGCGGATGGTGAAGGGGATGGGTTGAGTGAAGAGGGAGGAGTGGAGAGAGGTGGTGGAGGAGAGAGGGGGGGAGGGATGGGGGGTGGTGGGGGTGGGAGTGGAGAGGGAGGGAGGTGCGGGAGGAGGGAGGATGGGCGAGGCGGGTGGCGCGTGTGCGGATGGGAGAGGCGTTGCTGCGACAGCAGTCCTGCAGGTGGGGTGTCGTGGATGACAGCAGAGAGGGGATGGGGAAGAAGAGGGGGAAAGGGAGTGAGGAGCGCATAGAAGGAGGGGAGGGAGAGAGGGGGGAGTGGGGATGAGAGGGGGGAGTGGGGATGAGACGAGGGGATGAGAGGGGGGAGAAGGGATGAGAGGGGTGTTGGAGGGAATGAGAGGGGGGTTGAGAATGGTAAGTACGGGAGACTAAGGTAACTGGATAAAAAGAAGTCGGAGGGGAAGCAGGGAGATGGCATGGAGGGGGATGGCATGGAGGGGGAATTGCGGGGGGATGGCATGAAGGGGAAGTGAAATTAAGAGTGCGAAGCACAAGGCAGGAGGGGAGAGAGAGGCTGAGCTGGCAGGAAGATGCGGTCAGTTGGCAAACAAAGGAGGGTGAGAGGGGTGGGAGTGGGAGGAGAGGTTGGTGAGAGGAGGGTGAGAGGGGGTGAATGAGACTGGGATGAGAGGGTGTGAGAAGGGGGTGGGAGGGGTGCAAGTGGGTGAGGGTTGAGCACCTGACCCAAACAATCGATTGGGAAGGAGAAGCGGGAGGGAAAGCAGTGGGGTTGGGGCTGGGAGAGTGTGACGAGAAGGGGGTGCGAAGGAATTTAGGGCGAAAGAAGGGGATATAGTGAGAAGGGCGGAAATTGAGTAAAGGATAGAGTGCTCGAGCGAGATAGGGGAGTAAAGAAGGGAAAGGGAGGAGGAGAGGGGGGAGGAGGAGGGAGGGGAGCGGGACCACGACGACGGCGCAGATGAGTTTATGGGCAAGATGTCGGATGGGGAGAGGACGCGAGATCAGCTAGGGTTCACTTTCGTGGGCTGGGCCAGTGGATTATCACTAGCTTCCAGTAATTTCGCCAGGGGAATTTTGTTTCGCCAAGCCCCAACTAATTTTCGCCCAGAACCAGCACGTGTGAATGTGTACCGAGCGACGGGGTTCCTAAGGACCTTCCAGCTTCCTCCTCAAAATCAACTCAGCATGGTTGTAGCCGTGCTGGATTCATCCGCCTGATCCAACGCTCGACTGGCGCGGAACACGCGGTGCGTATTTGACGCTAAAGGCAAGTTACGCACCAGCGAGCGACAGCTGAGCGCGCAACCGCGGCTCCCCTCGAGGAATGCCGCGCTGTGAGCCCCGCGAGCATGGCGCGGCCGACGCGGAGAGGCGAGCGAGAAGGGTGCGGCGCGGAGAGGAGAGGAGGTAGCGGGGGCGACGCGGGGAAGTGGAGGACGATCGAAAACTGATCTCGGTGTGAGCTTTGCCTATCCCCGCTGTAGGCTCAAGCGACTAAGACATCTGTAGAGTACACGCTGTGGTATTCATTCAACGAAATCTCGTAATGAAAACCTGGGGGGTGTCAGATTCGGTGCCGAACAGCGCGAGACGCTCGGCCCGAAGCAGTCTGGTAGCTTTGGTGTGTCCTCGAACTTGCGTTTTGATTGAACGAACCCTAAACCCTCGAAACGTGCGAGCTACTTGCGAAATTCGTATATTTCGTTTGTCCCCTCTTGTTTCTGGCTGGCCCCTGGGCGCATCAGGGCGTGTCAAGCAAATTGATTTCGAGGCTTTGACTGCCTTTTCTCGTAAAGTTGCTCGTAACTGAATTCCCGCACATATCTAGAAAAAGGTGTGTTTTAACTTGGCGCAAACCGTCCTTCGAACACGCGGACACCCAGTCCCACAAGTGGCGAGCGGTAACTCTACCTCCGAACGAAAACAGGAATAGTATTGAGAGTTGTCGCCTACAGAAGAGTCACGCCTTCGTTGTTTTCGCCTTGAGATTGCCGGTTTCACGTGCTGCGCTGCCTGAAAAGAATCAAAATCCAATTTGCATGACACGCCATTCGTTGTGACAACAGAACGAGCCCAAGAATATCCTCCACTTCGCCAAAGAGAAGAGAGCCTTGAGGTTCGAAGCGATTTCTGCCTCTAGCGTTTTGGGCAGTGGGATGAAAGCTGGTACCTTGAGGCATTCAGAGGATCCAACACGACCTCTTATCGTCCTTACCGAACGCTCCCGTTAGTATCATCGCTTTTCCCGCGCCTGTCCCGGGGCCGACACGGTACTTGTGCTTGCCGGGCTTGTGGCGACCCTAGTCAGCAATCCTCAAAAGCTTCTCGGTCAGCAGTTTAGGAATGAAGAGAGAACTCACTGTGAGCATCACCCACAGGCGCCCGCATGGGAGCAAGCATCGGAGGTCAGGTATGGCAATCATCGGGTGTGCTACCTCGATCCACGATGGGAAATGATCAAACTGGGGCCGAAGAGTGCCAGAGAGATGACCAAAGTAGGGCCAGAAAATCTCGACCGTAGGATTTTAGCCCCGAGCTGCCCAAGAGGCTAGGCGAACAAGCCGAACCATAACTAAAAGAGAAATGCTATCGGCGCCAAAATCGTGTCGAGCATATCTAAAAAAGGTTACGACCGCCGTCTACTACTTACGGGCGCATCGCGTACTTCTGAAAGTAAAAATTGTCGTGTTAATTTGTGAGTTCAAAACAAAATATTTCATTACGGGTGATACATATAGCAACATGTTCGGAAACGTGCAATAAAAAAATATTACCCATTCGGAAATTGATGCGATTAGGGAGGCATCAACCCTAAACACAACAAAGGTTCCCGTTTTTAGTGTTGATCCATCCCGAATATGCATCCAGGTTCCCTAGGGGTTTTAGTTTTTTTGGCTACCCTAAGAGTTTCTGGCTTGCTAGACGACGCAATCGGGTGGAAGGTCATGAATCATTAACGATTTATATGAAAAATGACTTTCGATCGAAAATGCAAGCTGTTAGCAGACATGCGTTCAATAAATGATGGCTTCCTGCAAATACCTCCATGTGTAGTGGTTTGGTTAGTTCCGGGCCTGTCGGCCCTTGTTTGATCACCTCTCTGGCACTGTTCGGCCCCTGTATGATCTTTTCCCATCCACGATAGCATCTTCCCGCCCTCCGCCGTGAAGGAATATTATGGAGAGCGTTACGACGGCGAGAGAGTTTCTGCTTGTGAGAATGATGTTGTGCTAGCAACTCGGTAGTATTCCGGTAGCGTTGGTCTCAAATGACTAAGTGAGAATTTGAGTAGAGATTGGACTTCACTAGGAAAATAGAATATATGAAACACAAACAAACACACAAGCAAATATAGGCTACGGGAGAGTTGCACAAAGTTGCCGTGGCGCTGCGCAGTAACCCAACCCCACGAAACTGTCGTGTGGGTGGGTGAACGCGCCTCGGCCAATCCCAACCTGACTCAGCAGCGGAATGGTTCGCCAAGCACGTCACACCACCAAACACCAACCCCAACTCGGCTGCACTATACAAGACACCCACAAACTGGCTAGGAAGTGGCGTGCCTTGCAAGGAAGGCTTGCAAGACTTCCGTAGACCAGCACAAGCTCAATCGCAGCTGCTGCTAGTGAATGTGTCACCACCGACTTTCTCGAGGTGGTGTCGTCAACGCTGGTAGTCGCCCACTGCAAACAACCGAGTCAATAGCTTCATGAGGGCCCTTGCTGTCGTAGGGCCCTCTAACACTCCCCTGCCATACTACAGCAAGGCCTCAAAACACACAAACAAAGCACAGGGCATGCATACACACATACACACCAAAACAAAGGGAAACACACAAACAAAGCACTCTCAAAGCGCAAACACGCACCGCACCAGCCATGGATAGGCCATGGCACCAACCACGTCATGGAGGGTCTAGGTCTCACTCCCCTCTCTCGAGAGCCTCACCTGCCCCACAGCCTCGAAGCAACGACTGAAGGCGGGGAAATGCAATGCCTTGGTAAGGTAGTCAGCAGGCTGCTCGCTCGTAGGGATGTACTGCAGCTGCAGCTTCCTGCGCTTGACCATGTGCTGCAGCCACATGTGACGACGCTCCATGTGCTTGAGGCTCCCCTTGAGCCCCATGCCACCTGCCACTGAAATGGCGGAGGAGTTGTCCACAAAGAGAGTAGTGGGAACCTCACTCCTCAGCAGTTGAAACTCTGCCAGCAGGAAGCGCAGCCTGCGCGCCTCCTTCCCAGCCTCCACAGCAGCAACGTACTCGGACTCAGTGGAGGAGAGGGTGGCGCAACGAATCCTCTGGCTCGCCCACGAGACAGCAGCACCTCCGAGCACGAAGACATAGCCACCAGTGCTAGTCCTGTTCTGCTTGTCTCCCGCATCATCCGCATCGGCATAGCCCACCAGCTCCAAGGACTCAGGCCCACCACCAAACTCCAGCGCCACATCCCTGCTCCCCACCAAGTACGCCAAGCACCGGTCCAACTCCTTCCAGTGCTGGTCACTCCGCACTGTCTGGCCCGACCCCAGCTTGCTGCAGGCGAAGGAGATGTCGGGACGGGTGGTACAGGCCGCGAACTGCAAGGATCCCACCTTCTGCCTGTACTCCTCCTCCTGGCGAGACTGCCATCCCGCATCTTCGAAGGTCTGCACACTGAAAGGGTCAGAGGAAAGGGGGGTGCGAGGCACTCGCAGCGGCTGCTCCCCGTCGAAGAAGCGCCTATGGACCTTGTCCACATAGGCCCCCTGGTGCAGCCACAGCCTCCTCGTAGGCCTGTCCCGAATCAGCTGCAACCCCAAGTACTTCTCCACAGGGTTTATCTCCCGCAGCTGAAACGCACTCTGCAGCAGCTCACGCAGCTCCCCCAGCATGCTCTGACTGCGGCTGGCAGCAAGCAGATCATCCACATACACCAGCAGCCAGCACATCTCCCCGTCAGCATCACTCTTGAAGTACAAAGCCTCATCCACTTTGCTCTTCTTCCATCCAGCCCCAAGCAGCACCCCATCCAAGGCCTCATACCACAGCATCGGGCTTTGCTTGAGGCCATACAGACTCTTCAACAACTTACAGACACGAGGAGTCCCATCCTCGTAGTAGCTCGGCTGCTCCATGTAAAGGTCTCGGTCCAGCACGCCATGGAGGAACGCGTTCTTCACATCCAGCTGCATCAGCTCCAAATCGAGTGCAGCTGCAATCGCTAGAAGCACGCGCGCCGTCACATAGCTTCCCACAGGGGCGTACGTCTCCTCATAGTCCACCCCTGCCACCTGCGTGAACCCCTTCACCACCAGCCGCGCCTTCTCACGCTCTACTACCCCATCAGGTCGGAACTTGGTGTTCAGGATCCAGCGGTTCTTCATCACATTCACCCCTGGCGGACGCGGAACCAACTTCCACGTTCCCTGCTCAATCAAGCTCCGCATCTCCTCATCCATCGCCTCCTTCACCTTGTCGCCCTTCCAGCAGCCCAAGGCCTCCTTCACTGTCATCTTCGCTATATCCCACTGCCTCTCAGGGTCGGCCACCACGTCAGGATCCAGGTCCGTCCACTCCTCGTCCTCCTCCTCGTCATCCAATCCCGCTGGCTCAATCACTAAAGCCCAAGCATACTTAAGAGGCGGGATACCACGAGTGATGCGAGTGGAGCGACGCAGTGGCGCAGTGATCGTCCCAGAAGCCAACACACGACCACCATCTCTGATTCCCCACAGCTCCTGCTCCCCTGTCTGCGGCTCCCCTGTCTGCTGCTCCCCTAGCTGCTGGTCCACCATCTGCTGCTCCTCAATCTGCTCCTCCCCTATCTGCTGCTCCCCACTCTGCTGCTCCCCTAACTGCTGCTCCCCTATCTCCTGCCCCCCACTCTGCTGTACTCCATCCATACTGCTCTCGTCCTGCAGCTGCTCAGTCTCAAGGCGCTGCCCGTCGGTGATCTCCACAGACGGTGGCACCACTATCCCCCCCTCACCAACGGGCGGCGCCGTGGAAGATGAAGAGGAGGGTGGAGCAGGTGCAGGAGGGATGGAGGGTGGAAGGGGAGAGGGAATAACAGGAGGAGGAGGGGAAGCCAAGGGGGGTGAGGATGAAGAAGGTGGGGCAGGGGGAACCACACGAGGGTAAACTGAAGGCGGAGGTGGGGTGGGGACCGAGGTAGGGACATAGGGCATAGCAGGAGGTGCGACCACCTCCTCCTCCTCCACCGCCTCCTCAAGAGTGATCGGGAAGAGGGAGGGAAGGGGCTCATAGGGCATCGGACGCCCCGCATGCTCCTGCTGGCGTCAAGCCTTGCATCCTGCCAGGGACATGGTCTCATAGAAAACAGCTTCCACAGTGGTGATGAGGCGGTTGGA